AGTATATTATATAGGCAAGGTTATAGGGACATATCACTGGTGGGAATGCAAAATGTCAGTTTTTCTATAGAAATTTATGCTTTCTATAGAAATTTATAATATGCAACAAAATATATACCACTCAACCCAGCAGTCCCACTTTTGCAAATGTATCATGAACACATACGCATTTTCAAAATTATGCATTCTGGCATTACTTCTAACTGTAAACACTGCAAAGTGTCTCAGGACCCAAACATCTGACGAAACAATGGCACACATTAAATGTAATACTATGGAGTAATAAAAAAAAGAATAAAAAAGTAATTGAACTGATTTGAGAATTTTTCCCAAGATGTATTGCTCAGTTTAAAAATGCAAAAGAGTGTGAATGACAAGCTGCCTTTTGTGTCAAAAAGGGAAAGAATGAAGTGTATACTACTGCAATTTTAATCCACCAACACAAAGTTCTTCCTTGCTGTTCCAAATTCCCTAACTGTGTAATATGTGTAAGATAGTTGCAGAGCTGTTTTCTCTCTATTACCTCCAAAGGAAAAACTACTCAAATTCAGCTTATCTTTAGAAAATATAAACCCATGAGAGATAAACTTGAACATAATGAAGCTGGGTATGTTTCAGAGGTGGGAGGCTGGGGTGCCGTCTGGGCAGAATTAACCCTTCTCTGAATGCATCTTTCTGTGTGCCTTTGACTTTTAGAAGCTTTCTATATATTAAAGAAAAACATCAAGGATGAGAAGAGAAAACAAAGCCACAGTGACAACCTTAAAGAAGTAAAACGTGAAGAAAACGGAACCAACGCAGTGAGCCGCGTTTCCACTGAATGGAAGTCAGGGCAGGGAAAGCACTGAGGCAAGGAACGCTGAGTGCTGTAATGCATTGTGTGTCCTTCATCACGGGCTTGGCCGAGTAGAGAACAGAATGAAAACTCTGTTCAGTGCTTTTTGTTTTTTGTACTATAACTTTGGCTTCGTGAGATAAACAAGGTAATTCTGCAAGTATTTTAGATGTATTATGGGAAAAAATAAATTGATGTTATCCGAGGTACAGATACGGACTAAGATAACCAGGAAGAGAGCCTTTTGGCTCTGTGACAAATTTTATAGTGTTTTCTACAAACACTCCCTAAAAGAAACAAGTGATACAATTAAAATAACTAAAAGAAGCTACACCATGTACAGATTAGCAATACAGTAAGAACTCCACCAAGAATGTGGACTTCTTGAACTGCAATCTTTTAAAGGTGTATAACACCAGCCAGCAGAGATGGCACTATATGTGACTGTAATCCCAGCTACTTGGGAGGCTGAGGCAGGAAGATTGTGATTTTAAGGCCAACCTGGGCAATACAATGAGATCTTCTGCCTTCCATGTCTTAATTTTAAAAAGAGTGTACAATACCACATAAGATGGATTAAAGAAACAAAATAACCATGTTATAGATAGATTCTTTAAATTAATATTTCAAAGCAAAACTGAAGATAAACTGTTTTCTAATAAGAAAACTAAAATAGCCATATTAAAGCAAGGAAAATACCCCACAAACCCAAAAACCACTTTTATCTATAAGGTGTTCATCAGAAATTCTTATGAAACATAAACAATCTGAGGGTGATTTTGAGGGTTATTAATTACCCAGTCATATTGAAAAGGCAAAGGTGAGGAGCAGTGACACACAGTACCACTAAAATAGACATTGAGACCTACAAAGAGCTCTGGAGCCAAAATTAATTCCTCCTGATATCTGCATTCCCACACTGAGTGTAGCACTACTCAAAATAGCAAGATATGGAGTCAAGCTAACTGCCCAGCAATGAATAACTATCTAAAGGAAGTGTGACATGATATACACAGTGAAATGTTACTACTGTGGCTTTTAAGTAGCCATACTATTGGATGAAATCCTGTCATTTGCAGCAACAAGGATGAACACAGAGGCCATTGTGTTAAGTAAAGTAAGTTAGACACACAGAGACAAATACCACATGAGTGCCCTCATATGTGGAATCTAAAAGAACGGGTCTCATAGAGGTAGAAAATAGCTAACCATGGCTATGGAGGGTAGAGAAGGTGATCATTACATGTTATATACATATGTCAAAACCTCAGTGTACCCCATAAATGTATATAGTTAGTAAGTGTCAATTTAAAAATTTAAAAACTTGCCTCTTTCTCTTAGAAATAGCTAAATACTCAGTGGAATAGTGCCTGCCTGGCAAGTGCAAGGTCCTGAGTTAGATTCCTGCTATCAAAAAAAAAAAAAAATAGCTAAATGCAAGGGGCTTATACAACAGAAATGGTAATAACTGTGCCTATCTTATTGGGAAGTTAAGAATGTTAATTTACTATTACTTAAATCATAAATTTAAAGAATTTAGAAATGATTTTGGTGCCTAATGAGCATTCAATATTTGGTCTACAGACTGACTGCTACACTTCAGACATTTCCTTTCTTCTCCCTATTTGCTTTTGCATTATTCTGAATTTATGTTTCTGTGTGAGCACTTTCTTCTCTTAGCATCCATAACATCCAATAAAAATGAAAAATAAACACAAAGGGAGTTCCTACATATACATCAAATATTTTCTTTGGATTTATTACTGTGTAGCTAATTGTAAAAAGGGACCGTGATTTGTTTGACTGTATAGTGAAATAAATTAGTTGAAGGAAGGTTTGTAAGTCAGGAGAACTCAAGGAAGATTATCATCAAATTTAGGCAGTCTAGCATATTATTAAAAATTCTGCTACGTGAGCTCTCTATATAAAATCTTGTTTGCCTCTAACCTACCTGGAAATTTGCCTTTGTTTTCCCCATCTATGAAACTAGAAAATTGACCTGGACAATGTGTGAAGGCCTGTCCTATTCTAATTCCTTGGTGCTAAATAAAACTATGGGTCCAAACTCTCCTGTCATATTTATTTGATCTATGGCATTTTGATCATCTTCAAGCATGTACAACATAAGTGCATATATCATCCAGAGGCACATGTACAATATAAATACAGCATCAAATTACATATAATATGCTAATAAGTGGTGATTGATGAACATGAATCTTTAAATCTCAAAAGTGTGGCTGGCATTAAAATATCTCCAGAGATAAAATCAATCCATCTTCAAATGTGTTTAAAAGCTTTCGCATAGGAAACATCTGCTGTAATCAAAATATTCAGACTAAAAGATCTTACTTTCAGGTAAATTTATTGATACGACACAATATGTTCACTATAAGTATTTTCAGAAATAATAAGGAAGGTTATATTATTCACTAAGTTAGGATCTGAAGGGAGATGTAGTTTTGCCCCTCCACACAGAGGTCATGTGCATTTTCCTACATTGAAACAGTCTCTACAGACTTGAGTTTAATGAGGGAATAATGTTGCAAAAGATAGACTTGCCATCTTTTTAAAAGTGGCATTTATTAGTTTTTATTTTTAAAATGGTATGGGTCTAATTCAAGAAAATTATGAAATAATCATCAGAATTTTACCCTCGTAAGAAAACTATTTTCAAAATTTTAATGCCATTTTATCTCCCATTTATGTATTATCCTTGGCTTTTTAATAACCAACACTCTTACGATAGATTGAAATGCATACTTTTTTAATGATTTTCTTAAGTGTGTCTACCTGTTCATACCTATACACTACACAATTTTCCTGAAATGTATGATAATATCATTTTTCCTCTTTATATTAGTTATTTCTCTTTTTCTTTCTGACTGTTAGGATCCTTAAATATCAACTTATTTGTCCAGCTAAGCCTATTTGTCCTATGCAGTGCAAGTATTTTCATCAATAAATGTTTAACATGTTACATATAGAAAGTTTTAATCTAATTTAATCCAATTGGCCAATTTTTTCTTTTATGGTTTCTTAGGTTTTTTAATCCTTAGAAAATCTTTTCTTATTCCATAATTATTTGAATATTATCCCTAAGTCTTTTAGCAAATACTTTCAGAATTGCATCTTTAACCCTATATATTTAATCTATGTAAAACTGATTTTGATGGAAGAAGTTTCCACGGATGCCTACCAAAAATCACTTCCCTATTATTAAAATATTTTTACCGTAAGTTATATTGCTGTGCAGAGTTATCTCTTTTGAGTTCTTTATTCTCTTCCTTTGAGCTTATTTATTCCAGTTTGGATCCAAACTGTTTTAATGATTATAACAGTATATGTACTGACTGTGTGCTGAGCTTAAAATCTTCACTGCTCTTATTTAAAAATAGATATTCTTACTTGTTTACTTTTCACAAATTTTTAGATTCAGACTCTTCAAAAAAATTCATGTTGGTATTTTTATCCACATCATGTTCATTCTCAAATTTATAGACTAATTTAGAAAAACCTCATTATCTCTGAGATGCTGAATTTTATTTATTTCTTCGTTTCCCAGTCTATATAGCACTGTTTTTTTTTTTTTGTTTTTGTTTTTTTTTCTAACTGATTTATCTTTGCTGGAAAGAAAGCTATTGATATTTTATACAAGAGCTTTAGAGTTGATCTCTGATTTTCCACATACACAAGCATCATTTTTGCAAATGATAATTTGCTCATAATTGTATAAACCCTTTTTTCTCTTATCTAATTGCATAGGCTAGCAACTACGTAACTGTGATGGCGGTATACACTGTTTTGTCGTTTTCCCCAGCTTATTGGAAATGCTTTCATAGCTGAGTAATATTTTGTCAGTTTTCAGCAGAGACACCTTTCACTTTGAGTGTTTTCCAACTCTTCTGGGCTGTCTTCACTGTCGTTCTTGGTCCTATTACCTTCAAACCTTAGAGTCCCTCTTACTTGTTTAAAGGTAAAAAGCAAAAGCTCTTCATCCATTGCTTAGAAAGGGAAAAACTAACCTGGGATGGGGTGTGGAGGAGCTGGCTGAACTCCCCACCAACATCCAGAGCAGAGGGTTAGAAAAAGTTCCTGAAGGAGGAGGCGCCGCACAGTGGGGAGGAGTCGGTCACCTCCGCCCCTGCCCCGCTTCACTGCCACCCGCGGGGTGAAACGCGAGCGCGGGTGGCCAAGGACCTGGAGCAGCCGCCTCCTGCAGCCCCGTGCCAGCGCCCGAGCCAGACAAAGAGACCCCTGCGCCGGCGCAGCGCGTCTGAGCCACGCGCGCCTCTGCCCGCCCCGCTGCCCCAGTCCCGGCCTTGGCCAGGTTTCCGCCCCACCCCGCTCCCGGGAGCACCCCTCTCTGCCACCCTCGGACCGCCCCCAGCTCCCCATCCCTTTCCGTTCCGGGATCTCCCAGCCCCTGTCCCGTCTGTCTGTCCATCTGTCCTGGTGCGCGACCCCGAGCCTGTGGCGTGGATGGACGCGCCCAGGCTGCCCGCGCGTCCAGGGGTCCTGCTTCTGAAGCTGGTCCTTCTCTTTGTCTACGCAGGTCAGTGCCAGGGGGCCCGGGGCTTGGGGCTGTGTTTGGGTCAGGGTCTGGGCCACCCCGCGGGAGGCAGGAGGATCTGCTACCTTTGCAAGAGGGCAGAGATTGTGTGGTCCCCGAGGAGACTAGAGAAAACAGCGCGACCTTCATGTGGTTTTGTTTTCTTCTTTCTTTAAAATTTCCTATTTGTTACACACACACACACACACACACACACACACACACACACACACCCTACTCCCCAACTTACTCTTGCAAAGCAACCTGCAAACTCTAACCCCGCGTTTAGGGTTCTGTGCTGCCTGGATAGTATAAAACGGATCCAGGATTCGGGAATCTGGGGGCAAGGGCGGAGACTAAGCTAAGGGAAAGCGCTTTTAAAAAGCGCCTGAAGCTCAGAGGTAATACTGGGGTTTTAGAATAAACTCATCTGGGGCCTTCGCCTTTTCATTATAGGCTACCCACGGTCCCCTTCACCGCCCACTTTCTGAATATATCGGTTTTTCCCTTTTAGAAATAAAACGTTAGACTTTGCTTTTGTTCTTTAGAAGATTCAGATTTAGAGTATTGTAGGCTGGGCGATTGGGAATGCTGAGTTAATGTACAGGGTTTTGGAGAGGTCTGAATTCACTTGGAGTACACTCTGTCTTCTTTGATATAGATAAGCACTTTTTGAGGAGGGCATTTCCTTTCCTGCCTTCTAATTATTGAATTGCTAATAATGAAGCAAAGTGAGAGTTCTTTTTTGTGATTGATATGAAGCCCTAAAGGGCCTTTCATTGGGTATTCAAGTATAAAGTTAATTACACACCTGGTCCTTGCATCTATTCCTATTCACAGAACAAAGCTAAAAGCTAAATTTTTTAATAAAAATATTTCCATGTCTCTTAACTTCCTGTGGCAAAAATCACACTCTTACGCAGGACCCTGCAATGCTGCATGTATGAATAGCACTGCGACTTACGTTTTGACAGATACTGCAAACTCAGATAAAGGCCTTCTCCCACACTGTCACCTAAGCAGCAGGAGAATTCAATTTCCCATCTAACCTCATATAGCTTCCATGGAAATTTTCAATCTGTTTATTAAAGTGCAAATTAGTAAGTGCTTCAAGCTGTCATTTGAAACATTTTATTGTAGGGAAAATGCTGACTTCCTAACATAGAAATACATAAAAGTGGAAAAATTGCTCCAATGTAAAGAGAAAAATTCACCTTTTAATCCATTTGCAACATATTTGAGTCATGTAAAGTTTTCCAAATTTGAAGAACTAAGCGTCAATTGAATCATTATTTTTACATAAAAATCTCTCTTAGTTCATTTGAAGCAGTCCTCATCCTTTCTACCTCCTCTACTTATCAGAGGAAGGGAGGAAGGAAGGAAGGTAGGAAGAAAAGATGGGAGGGAAGGAAGAAAGGAAGGAAGGAAAGGAGGGAGGGAGGGAGAGAGGGGAAAAAGAAAGAAGGGGAAGAGGGAGAGCGTGGGAAAAAAGCAAATGAGACTTTGTTTAATTACTTTCACTTACCCATACTGAACCACTGCAAGTTTTTCTTGCTCTTGCCTCTGCTTTATTCCTTTAGAAGACAAAAGTTCTTCCTACTGCACCTGCTCTCCCAATCCTCCCGCTGTCTTGGTGCCAGTTGCTCATTCAGGAAGCCAGTCCAGCTGGTCAGCAGCCAGGCTGCTTCCTATGGATTCCCTCCACTTCTCTCCTTACCTAGCGAACACTATAGAGTAATGACACAAACTACAAGGTAACTACAAACCAAGACTTGGTTGCCTGACTGTCTTTCATCAGAAATAGTTGGCTAATAAGCTATTTGGTGTTTATTCCTGGATTTATGATCCCAGAGGCTTTTTAAAAGTTTATTTATTTGAGAGGAGAGCACAGGTCATACTCTTGAGTTTTCTCTGGGAGGAAAGTTATGCCCATGCATTGCTGTAAGGTATCTAAGAGACGTAATCATGTGCATTGGGTTTCAAAGGATGGGGGTCTTATTGCTGGCTTATAAGTGTCTTCCTTGTAGACACAATCTGTTTTGTTCAGCAAAATAACCTCAGAGACTAGCAAAACTCATGCCCTTGAAAAACCTCAAACAAATATTTGTTCAGGAGTATTGAATTGAGGAGAACTTGGAAGAACAAGATCTTTACTTAAATAAGAAAGTCCTGGACAAACAGAGATAGAGTAGGACATGTTAGGATATAGTATGAACAAAACCAAACATCATGATGTGTGTATATGAAGTAAAGGTTAATGCAGTTGAGTTGAAACTATGAGAAATCATTGAAAGTGTGAATTGTGGTCAGAAATAAAAATAGTTGAGATATGCAGGTAAATGAGTTGTCCGTTTCATGGGGCAAAAACCTAAGCAGACGCAGTGTCCATAACCTGAATTATTTTCCACAAAGCAAATGTATTATATTTATTTTCCATTTGGTTAAGCCAATAAGAACAAGGTTTTGATACATAAAATAGCATGTTTTACAGTGGAGTCACTTTTAGAAAGAGATATAATGAAGTGTTTATATTATTGTTCAACTCCCACCACAGGCTACAAAGACAGGATCTGATCAAGGTTTCACCTTCCGGGCCTCAGCCAGTGCCTTCCGTCCCTTCCCTTTCCTTCCTCTCTTATCCTTAGCCATAGCTTGCAAGAGCACCTTTGGAACAAGTGCTTCAGGGCTGATACTGCTTTTCTCCTACTACACATTTCTGAAGGAGGGGTGTGGGGGTGAGTTGGGGAAACTTCTTCCACATCCTGCCTTTAATTAAAAAGCTAGTGAAAAAAGTTTGACCTACCTCATTTTCGGAGATATTAACTTGTTCATTAGAAGTAATACTACTTATCCTCCAAGGACAATTGGAATGTCCCAGTCTTTTATAAGTGTGTGCAAATGTCCTTGTATAGTCCAAACTCTGACCATCACAAAATTATTCTCAAAAAAGGGGCAGAAAGCAAGTGACATAGGAAGATAAATTCTGAGATATGATTGAACATTTGAAGTGGAAAAGTTGTCATTGTGAATGCATTTGCTGTACAATTAAATTTACCCTTTTCAGTAGTTCAATGCTGGGAAGTAGACAAAAGTTCTGCAAACACCATAAAAATAAGGAACAATATATGACATCATCTAGCTGTGTGCTGCAGGTAAATCCACCTTCTTGGCTACAAGATTTGGGGCTTGGTTTCCTGTAACGTTGGCTCAAAATATTTGGATAATACCATGTCCTGATGGCAGTAATAATTGGAAAGTAATGGTAGTAATTTAATCTTTGACAGCCTTGGAAAATTTAATAGAATTCACTGTCCTAGCATCACTGAAAAGGCACTTATGAATTTATTTAAACATTGGTTGCCCTACTGTGAACAATGAAGACAACAGCTGTCTCCAGATCTGAAGATTTTTTAAGGAACAAAAAGTAGCACAGCCTTGCTAAAGCCTGAGGATAACTGGCCAGTCTAAATATTTAAATACATTAAACAGTATAAGTGACAGTAGCAGAGAGGTCACTGAAGAAAGCACAAATTAGTTTTTAAAAGTATGATACCCTTTTCAGAAAGCACTTGTTGGTATTTTAGTTCCCCCTTGGATCTAAATGATTCAAATATGGTTTTTTTTCAAAGTTTAGAAGTGGTTTGGATAGTTGCTAAAGCTTACAGATATCATTTTTCCCTCCTGTTTCTTCTTACTGCAAACCAGAAGAAAACATCAAGATTCATGTTTATTTATCTATAATGTAAAGATAAAACAATGAAGTTGAACTTGCTCACTCATTCCACAAAAGCCATGGTAAAGGCAGGTGAAACTTCTGGGCTGGGATAGAGCCCAGTGGCACAAATGTCTGCCTGGCAAGTGCAAGGTCCTGAGTTTGATCCCTGGTACAAAAAAAGAAAAGAAATTCCTTACCTTTTGGTCACATCTTTTCTAAAGAATTATCTCAGCAAAGAGCTGAACTAAAAGCAATAAAATATTTGTTTTCTTGATAAATCAATATGTGGTCATATAGATTTTATACTTTTAACATATTTTTGACAGGAAACTAAAAGCTCTATACAGTTTATATAACAGTCAATATTACTTCTAAGGAATAAGTTGTACATGCCTTATTTTGTGATCCTTGAGCATACAACTTAAATGTATCATGTCTTCCTAATCATATATACTACTTGAAACTCACATATCTATCATGATTTATAGCACTTATTATAACCCAATAATAAAATATAAATCATGCATATGGAAATTAAAATTTTAAAAGGTTAGGGTCATTTTTATCCAACATTTCTGGTATAGTTTTCCTTATTGAAATAAAAAGAATCAAGACATATCATATACAAGTATAAATTCCTTATGCTGAATATGATCATTATGCATATCTAAATTGTACCAATAAACAGTAATAAGGGAAGAAAAACATGTAGAAAAATAGTAATTTGACTTCTTGCCTTTAATATGTCTTTTTGATCAGACAGTACCTTTTCCGCCTTCACATTGTGCTGTATTATAACTTATTGATTCTTCAGTATGACCTTTAGTGAGCTGTTAATTACTCACAAATAATTATCTGAGTGAATGTCTTATTATAACTAATTCTTATGATCCAAGCCTAGTGAGTTGACAGAATGCAGACTAATTTCCGTTACCATCTGTAAGCAAACTGTAGTTATGGGGGTAAAATGGCACAGAAAGAAAAGCATAAAATATTCTGTTATGGAAAATATACATTAATGTTAATTTAGTACATTTCGTACTCACCAGGTCATTAATTGAAGCTGATTGAGACTATGACACTCTAAAATCAGAAAACTTATCAATTAAAAACTATTCTAAGACATCTATTGACAAATTGAATGAATGATTATTGGCTCATTCATTCATTGCTCCTTTCATTATCTCACTTGACTGATGCTGACTTCTATGTTCTTCATTTGGTGCAGAAGGTTCAGGTCTTTGCTTTTCACAGCTTGGTCTAACTGTGATGAAAGGTGAGTTTAAAATCTGGCAAATGCGTTAGAATTCTGAGTACAAAAATAGAGATTTGAGTAAACTAAAGAGTGGGAATTAACTGATAAAGATATGAAATGGAATTATTTTTCCTGATGCTGTGATCTCACAACCATAATGGCTCATACATGGTTTTTATTATATAGACGATTGTCTTGCTCCGTGCGGCAAAGACTGCAGATCCTACTGCTGTGATGGAACCACACCTTACTGTTGCTCCTACTACGCCTATATTGGGAATATTCTCTCGTGAGTATCCGTCACATTTTGCAATATTAGTAGTGTATCAAGTTAGTGTCAGGGGGTACTAAATTGCAGGTCTGGGTAAGAGAGTTTAAGAATGGTTATTGTCATAAAATTTCTAATAGACATATTAAACACTCATCACTGTCTAGTACGTGGTGTAAAGGTGCAAATTAATATAAATTGGATTTACTAAAAGAGTTAAAAATGTATTCTTTCATTGATTGGTTCTGTGATGTTTAGTCATTAAACATCAAGTCATTAAGTAATGTTTTAAGTAGTCATTATATTCTTAATAATCTTTTTAATATTGTCAGTGGTATGTTTTTTGTCTGGATTTCTAAGTTCACATTTGTGACTGCATTATAGCAAGCTTTTCTGCCATGCACGTATTATTTCGTCTGATGCAGCCAGATGTGAAGGAAAGAAAGCAGTTATGAATAAAATCAGTTGAACATAAAAATAATGATTTTTCTACACAACACACATAAACCAATTTCAGGAGACAAGTTTAAAACTCGATGAAAAGGTAGACATGACTAATGTAAAGTGATAAACAATCAAATCACGCAGCACATAAGACAGAAATAAACACACACAGAATCTGTACAGCATTTCCCCAAAATAAATTAAGAATTTATTTTAGAACTGCTTCTGAGCAAAGCGAAATGGGGTGGTGGGGACTGCCTTTCAAGTTGAGTCTCTGGAGAAGGATGCAAGTGTTATTTCCTCTGAGCACACAATTAAGAAACTAAAGGTAGTGAATTAGAATCTTGAGTCAAAATTCCCTGTGGCTCAAACAGCAGCAATGATCCAGCTCCTGCCTTCTGTGTTTTTTTAACTTCAGCTCATATTAGGATGGTCTGGGGACTGTCCTGTTCCCAAACAAATAGGCTTAACTCATGCCCTGTGAAACAGAAAGTGCTGAGTCATACGTGCCCAGCTATTTCAGGGATGTGTACATTGAGAAGACCTGTACCACAGGCTCGATTTCCCAAGAGCAGAAAACCTGGCACCACAGAAACTTTTCTCCCTCAGCACTGGTATGGGTACTAGAGACCTTGTCTATCTGAATGCACTTTAAAAAAATCAGACTTTGGAATACACTTGAAGACTAGTACAGTTAAGACAGTATGTAGGAAATATCAAGCTAAAATTAAAAGCATATATGTTTTAAGCATTCTTGGAAAAGTAAATAAACTCTAAGTAAGCATGAAATTTCTCTTCATACGAGATTTGGTAGGAAAAAAATCAAGCCCCCTTCTTAGACTTCATTCAGTTAAGAATTCAGTTAGAAAACTATCAGAATTATTATATGAATTTATTAGTTCATCCATAAATGCATACTGATGTTTGCTGTTATATATTATTACATAGTATTTAAAATAATTTCAAATTCCTGACTAATAGATTAGAAATTTATTTTTGTTTTATCTCTGCTCTCTGGAGGTACTGTCCCGGGGCAGGTATGAGTGGAACCAGTAAGCAGTATGGACTTGGGGACTTGGGAACTTGGGATCAGAGTGGCTGTGGGATTCTTTAGTCCTGTAACTCCTAACCTGCTCCTCTGTCCACTATATCATGGTGTGCACTGTATCCCTATTTCCTTTGATTTGTACCTGCAGCCTGGTAAGTATGCACACACTTATTAATCCCAAAATTTAAAATTTTTAAATTTATAGATATGCTTTATATGATTTACATTTACATCAAATTCACACTTTTATGATACATGTTCCAGATCTCTAATATCACTATTTGATTAAAGTAAACCATTAGTTGCATTGATACATTCAACAAATTTATTAGGACCATGCACTTGTTATATTTAGAAGAAAAAAAAATTGAGTTTTGGGAGGAAAAATAAACACAGATGGCATTATATTTCAGGAAGTTAAAACTGAACTTTTAATTTAAAATAGAAGCCATTGACTAAATCCCTTGTTAAATGATTCTTACCCAGAAAAAAAAAAAAAAAGAAAGACTTAAAAGTATTTTCCCCACTGGGTAAAGGAGAATACATGTTCAGGATTTCCGGTTATTGTTTAATATTTGAAAAGAGTTCTTAACTCCACCCAAAGCTTTATTTTTTTTATTCTGTGTATGTGGGGGGGAGTGCAGTAGGTAGAAAAAAATCAGTTCTAAGAATGCTTACAAGAGTTTTTATGTTTTCAAATATTTCTATTTTAGAACTCATAAACCCTGCTTCCCTTCTTTGAAGCATCCAGGAACATTCTCAGTAAAATCACTTGAATGACCTTAACAGATGTAAAACTTCTGTGGTTATCAGAAAAGTAATAAGGAAGAAAGTAATAAATAATAAAATATTACGTATCTTAAATGAATAAGTTAATAACTGAGTTGATGTTTTTGTTTCTTTTCAAAATAGAAACTTTGGCTTAGTTTAGAATGAGTTGAAAGGAACCAAGAATATAATTTGGGACATTCTGGACTGTGTGCTTCTGAGACCTCTGTCCCAGTCACCTATGATAGCGGTTTTGAGAGAGATGCTTATCCCTTCAGTCTGTTTACTTCACAGCACTTGCACTTTCTTACAGTAATCATTCAAAGAGTTAACTTCACATCTGCCTTTTATTTGAAAAGTCTTATTTTTCTCAGTTCTCCCTGCCTCTATTCAGATATTCTCTATTTTAAATGTGAGTTACTTTTGGCAAACAACTTCAAATCCCCTCCCTTACTTTTTTTTCCTAATTCACTGAGGAATTTTAAGACTTATTTCTATCTGATTTAAAACTTCCAAAATTAAACTTCAAAATAGCATAGCTACTTTGAGTCATTTTGGCCACAGGTATCAAGATCATATAGAAAAATCATAACATCATCTTCTAGAGCTTGAGAATAATGCTTACACTAATTGGCACATACTATTTAACCAATTAATCATTTATAAATGCACATGAAGTGCCTGTTACCATACCAGAGGTGGAGCAGGTCCTATCCAAGGATAAATAAATGATATACCTTGACTTCTAAGATCCCAAAATCTAAAAAGAGTATAAATGCAATTCTAATTCCATAATCTGATCTATAATGCATTATTGGATGACCATAGAGAAAACAGTGTGTGTGTGTGTGTGTGTGTGTGTGTGTGTGTGTGTCTAGAATGAGATGTTTTGAGACAGCCTCATAACTGGTATTTGATCAGAGTTTTAAAGGAAGCATGGATGTTTATATTAATGGACAGTGAAGGAAAGGAAATGCATTCCAGACAGAGGGACTCCTGTTTGCAAAGACCCAAGAAAGGAAATGGTCAGTATGGGAAAATATGTTCAAGGCAGTTATCAGTGGGAAGGTTAAAACTTGAGTATACATAGGAGTAAGTAGATCAGACAAAAGGTCGGATCTTACTAATGTGCTCTTATCGGTCATTCTTACAAAATATAAAATGAAATAATTCAGTATTTTCCTGGTGAAACTACACACCTGGTTTTATATAGAAAGGGTTCACTCTTAGACACCACTAGGAAAACAGACCAAGATGAAAAAGCACCAAAATAAGACTGCTTTTACTTGTTCCATAGAGGGAAGATTTAGAATGTACATTTTGCAGGTTTACACTACTTGGAATATTTTATGATAGAAAATGTGACCTTGTAATTATGTCTCCATGTCAGAGATTTTTGAACCTGCGAGCAACTGCTTGAAAATTAGAAGTCTCAGTGTGCTTAAAAATGAGAATCTGAGCGAATTTGAGAAATAAACACTTTCCCACCAGACTGATTCCTGAAGAATTCATTCAGCAATTCTTCTTCATGGAAGAAGAAATACTCTGTGATGAATATGGAAAAGGATATTTACATTTTTGCTGCTGCTGAAATATGATTGACATTCCTTGGAGGGCAAACCCCCACATAAAGATGCAGTTTCTGAAATAATCTTTAGAACTGGTAGGATTCAAGGTGTGATCAAGTAGCTAATTACTGCTAAGCAGTGGCTAGAAATGACCTGACAGAAAATTAAGGTATTCTGCCACATTAGTCCAAGAATAATTGCATAATATTAAATAAGAATCAAATATTGACAGATCCAGCCATAGTGAGCCGAATGTCACAATGTAGAATTTAATTTCCTAACTCGAAGTAAAGTTTTGCCTTTTCATTTTGCCACTGTGAAATGCTGATCTGTCTAAGGAGTCTTCAGAGCACCATCTAGCCAACTGAAAAATCCCCATGGGGAAAAAATCAAGAGGAAGAACTAATAATGAAGATCCTAGCGGGATTAAGTTTGTTTTCTTCTCAATGAATTGTGAAAGATGTATTACCCACAGTTTTGCAAAGACAGCTAATAAATATCACAGCTGAGACTTTCAAGCCATGTTGTGCTTGAAAGCAAAGCTGAGTTAGAAGATAAAGGTTTCGTATTGTCCAGTGGCATGTGGTCATTAAGCAGCGGAGTGTTCTGAATTAAACCCAGGAGACATTCAAGCACTGACAGAAATTTAATGCATTTTAAAAGACCTATGGCACTGTTCTAAAAATTATTTAAATTAATTAGGTTAAAAGAATTTAGTAACACTTGAAAAAAGCCTCTGAAAAGTATATAGAGTGCAAATCAGTTTATAGAAGCCTTACTTTTGTTTTAAGAGTGACACAAGATAAATAATTTCTATAAGGTTAAAATAAATGTGAACATGATTTAAATTGTAGCAACAGTTTATAATGGGTAAAAGAGAGTCTGCGTTTCTCAGAAGACGTATAATTGCATCTTGCTGGTTTTTTTATTAGAAGCAAACACAGATATATAGATACTATTCTCAAATTTATATTCCCTTCTAATTGATCTTGTACATAAGCCTGTTGGAAATACTGTATATTTTGTTTTAGAAAGGAATAAATGAAGTTTCTAGGGTATATTACCAACAGTTTATTTCTACACATACATACAGAGGTATTCAGTAACTACACCAATTGCTGAGAGGTACAGCCCTGAACGAAACGTGGCCCTGGCCTTGAACTGCTTAGAAGCTACTGGAGTGTGGGGAGCTA